AGGGCCACGGTGGACGGAAGACGGCAGGCTTCCCATGCGTTTATTGCGGCAGCTGGGTCTTTCGCATATTTGCGAGATAATGCGTCGATCAAGGCGTCGATGGGGAGCAGCACAACAGTGGATTTGTCTATAGAGTGTGCGGGGATGTTGGATAGGTTGATGCTGGCGCAGGCTCAGGAGTGTGTTTTTGAGAATACTATCGCCAAAGGAAGTACTCCCGGAGTTTGTGCCAAGATTTCTAGGCAGGTGGGTTCTTTCTGTCTGTTGTTTGCTTTTGTTTTCTGATAGCTGTTAATGAATTGAATTTTATTCATGAGCAATGGATTGCGGATCTTCAGGGATTTGCAGAGTGGCAAATTATGCCATTTGCAGTCAATTGTAAAATCATTCAGTTAATGAACATCGATTTATAGCTAGATGGTTTTCTAATTCTAAAGGGTTTATAGAATCATGGGTTGGAAATGTTGGAGGAATTAATGGCAGCATTGCTATTTTGATCATGGGATTAAAAATTTGTTTCATTCCCAAAGTTTGTGTGATTGTATTTGTATTGTTCCTCTTTCACATTTTCTAGGTGTTGATTTCAGGTCTGTTCTGATTAATTCTGAGATGAGTTTAATTGTAGGTTGGACTCTACTATGAGGAAGCTTTTGCTGCATTGCTTGTTGCACCTTTAAAGGATCATTTTGAAAAAGCCTGGATCTCACATGTGCAGCTTAAGGCAGCTCTGTTCTATGCAGAAGCTTGCTATAGATCTGGTATGGAGCTTCATGAGAAAGAAGAGATTGCAGAAGAAATTGCACGATTGAGGAGTGGGGTTAATGCTTTAGCTGAGGTAAAGAAGTCATCATCAAAAGGGGCTGCTGCCCAGCTACTGGATGCAATTAATACGTTAGAAGTCAATCTTAATCGCAACCTTGAGAGGGCTGTGAAGGAAAATGAAAGGGTTTACCTCATGAGGGTTCCTTCCCCTAGTTCCTTATCACCTCTCCCAGCATTTTCTATGGTTAAGCCAATGCAGATGAATGAGGTTTTGGATGCTAGCAAGGAGAGGATGTTTGCAAGTCTTGTTCCTGACAACAGTGCAAAGGCTCTTTCCAGGTACACTGAAATGGTTGATGATATCATCAGGACACAGGCAGAGAAACTGCAGCGAGGAAGTGAGCTAACCAGAGTGAGGCTCAAGGAAATGGACCTGCCAGATTCTATCCTTGCTCTGGAGGGGCATTGCACTCTCCCCTCAGATCTTAAAGAAGAAGTAGAAGCTGTGCAAATTAGTGGAGGCCCAGCTGGTTTGGAAGCTGAGTTGCAGCAACTTAAGGATCTGAGAAGGGTGAACAATGAATTGCTTGTCCAGACTGAGGAACTTTTGCAAAAAGAAGCAACAGAAGATTCTCAGTTTCGAAGCCAGTTTGGAACAAGATGGACAAGACCTCAGTCCAGCACTCTGACAAAGAACTTGCAGGATAGGTTAAATCGTTTTGCAGCTAACTTAAAGCAAGCTGCGGAAAGTGATGCCCGCATTGAGCGTTCAGTGAGAGATCATTCTGCACTGATGTCAATCCTTGACCGTCATCCGGTATGTATGTCAAACTAATTCTTATTTTTGTCTGTTAAGTGAAGTAGTTGTTTTACCTGGTTTTACAGCATCACTTCAATTTTTTGTCCAAGATGAATAAGTGTTGGAGCTTTTAGCTAGTTTTTGTTTTAAGAAAATGTTTTATCTTCACTTAGCTATTTTCACTTAGTTAATTTTTTCTGCTTGTGGAATGAATTGACATCTTCTATGCATTCTGCCTTTATCAGATTGAATCAGCACTTCCCACTCTGTCTAGGCCAATAATGTCATTGGATGCTAATGAAGATGCTATGGTGGGCGCCCTCAAACAGAGTCTGGTACTTCTCTTTTCCCATGCAAAATTTAAATTTATATGAGGTTCACCGTGTGATTCACTTCTCTCCCAATTCCAAATGCTCTGTTCTCACTTCTCACACACAAAGTTGAAATAAAGCAAAACTAAAAATGAAAACTCAGAACCTTAATTTTATCAGAGGCTCGTTTTATAACCATAGAACTCTATTGATGCCATTCTTTCGATCTATTTACATTTGGTTTCCAGTTTTATCATCTCAACTAAACCTTAGTTTAACGTCTTGTCATTGCCTTGTTATATATGCAGAGGCAACTGGAGAATCTGGGTGCTCAGAGGGCAGGCCTTGAAGATATGCTTAAAGAGATGAAAAGAAAGGTATAATTAACATTTTAATGAAATATTAATTTTGGATTTGACTAGTACAAAAGAAGGGTGTGAGAAGGGAAAAGAAGACTTTCAGATTACTGTATAAACTCCATATCCCATGTGAAAAAAAAAAATAAATAAATAATGGGGAAAGAATAAATTAAGGTCAAGTGATGTTTTGATTTTTGTTAATTCTCATTAAATGACGCAACAAAGTTGTTGTGGGGGGAGGGGTGGGGGTTGTTTGAGAAAATGGCATCTTGCTCTTGGCATGTTGAAAATGTTGGTTCATTTATTCATTCAGTATGTTGTGTTAATATTATTTCCGAAAATTAAGTCTTTTTTCAGTTAAACCGTAGTTTGCAAGATCTCTTCTGCTTTGTTTCTGCTATTGCAATATGCATAGCCATTATGCATACAGTTATGCTTCTTTTTTTTTTACCATAAGGTATGCTTTTTATAATCTAAGTGTAGAGTCCCGTTTACACTCTTGTTTACGCTTGATGTAAATTTTATTTTTGTGATCATATTTGTGATAGAAAATATATCTTTGGTCATTGCTTCTTGCTGACTATGCAATCTTCCATTTTGTTCTCCATTTCAGACCTTGTATTAGCATGTATATTAATTGTGTATCATGGATTTTAAATTTTATCCTTCTATTCTTCTAATCACTAGTATTATCACCAGTTCACTACTGCTGGATTGGTAGTATATACCTAAAGTTAACAAGCCATGCTGTATATGTGTGGCTTCAGGATGACATACTGCCAAAGCTGATGACATCCACTGGCTCCTGTGACGATCTTTTCAGGAAGGAAATAGCAAAATATGATCATATTTGTGAGGACATTGCCCAAAACATTGAGGCGCAGGAACAATTGTTGCTGCAAATTCAGGTCTAATAGTTTCTTCTTTTTTCTTTCATATTGTGTTCTTTAAAATTGTTTCAGAGTTCTATCCAGTTCCAAAATTCAACTCTGTATGGCATTACAGGGACTCATGCCTGTAGCAGGAAATGCAAGGAATTGCGTTTCTTGGATGTTACTTTTACCCTCTAATTTGATAATGTCTTACTTTTATATTGGGGGATGTACTTGGATGCACAAGTGTCAGTATTCTAAAATTATGCATTTTCACCTATCATATTGTTTCTATATATTCTAATTATAATAAACTACCCTGAAAATCAAAATAATATTATATTAGTGTTCCATTTTCAAGTGCATGGACAATTTAAGGAAATTATTATGCATGACACTCTAGTCCCCTTAAATTTAAAACTTTGAAGTTAGTGTTTTAAGTCCAATCATTAGTGTTGGTCATGCTAAATTTTTAGGGAGGTTACATGAGAATTAATTGCATCCTGAATGATCAACTGTCCCTTTACAGGCTCAAAATGAACAGTTCTCTGCAATCTTTAATCTAGAAGATTACAAAGGTAAATAAGCCTGTACTCTGGTATTATTTAATCAATTTTATTATATGAATGTACAACTATGCATCAGATGATGTATTCTTCCCTTGCTACCTGTTTGAAGTGTGGTAGAATTAGCATGCAGTTGGTCTAAAATTCAGTTTCTGAGAATCTGAGCTTAACAATATTTTCTTCTTTTCTTTTTCCCTCTTTACTTTCCAATCAAATTTGTTTCAGCCTCTCGGGATAAGTGTTTCAAGCAAATTCAAGCTGCCATAGCAAAGTACAGAGAAATCAAGGATAACATTAATGAAGGACTGAAGTTTTATGTTACACTTCAGGTAACTAGTTTCCTATGTTGTGCTTGAGGCAGCATTTTCGTTTGTATTGTATTCTTTTCCTCTGTTCACACAGCTGCTTTACCTATGAGGATGTGTATAAAAATAAAATTTCTTGTCCTCAAACAGGATGCAATCACAAATGTCAAGCAGCAATGTAGTGATTTTATAATGACTCGAAACATCCAGTGTAGAGAAATGATTGAAGATGTGCAGAGACAAATGGCAGGTCTTAATTTCCAGGATCGTAAGAACACAGGTCCTTACCCTCCAGTCGGACAGCCACAGCAAACTCCAAGAAACCCACCTCAGCCACAAACAGAACCTCAAAATGCTGCCCATCCTCATTCTCAAACTCCTTATTATCGGCCTCCTGAGCAGCCAATGCCTGGTTATGGTCACCCTCCTCCATATGGTGCACCGCAGCAGCCACCACCTTACCATTTGCCTCCTGCAACTGGCGCTCCTTACACTTCCCCACCAGTCCAACAACAGCCACCGGCAAGCCAGGAGTATGGACAACCTGCTTACCCAGGATGGCGTGGCCCATATTACAATGCTCCTGGACAGCAACCTGCATCCTTTCCTCGACCTCCTTATAGCACTCCATCACCGTATCCCCCTCACCAGAGTGGTTACTACAAGCAATAATTGTCTTCTTATTTCATTTTCGACTTAAAAATATAGATTGTGATGCCTTCTTTCTTCTTCTTCTTCTTCTTCTTCTTCGTCTTCTTCTTCTATTTGCATGGTCAATTTAAGTATTTTTGTATGTATAGCTTGGCTTTACATGTGTGCTGAGATTTGTGCAATAAATGCTGATCATGTCGAAAGACTTATGTTTCTTTACCAATTGATCAACATTCAAGAATTAGCAGAATTTTGCCCTTAGAAATGAGTATAAAAACTACAGCAACATCAAGATATGAAGAAACAAGATGCAGACTCCATCTGATGTACAAATTTTCTGTTTTTTACCAGGTATCATCACTTGAAAACAGGAAAGTAAACTCGCTTTTCCTTTCTTTTTTCCCTGATGTATTTACACTAAATACAGCATAAAGGGAATCTGAAAAATGAACAAAGGCCCTGTAGAAACACACAAAATTACACTTCAGGGAACTTATTCATGGTTTATGTTGTGCATATATGGATGTACGAACGGCTTGACGGGGGGAAAGAGCTTTTCCATTCACGAACATTTGTTCTAGGAAATCCACACGTACTGATTTGAATTGATAATGCTGGTTCAGTTTACAAAAAGAACTCAATTAGAAAGTAGATTATCATGACAGATCAATACAAGCAAACAAGGCAAGGACACATTTGAGTTGTTCAGAAAGATAATGCAAACATAGAAAAAACAAGCAAGAACATGAGAGAACTTACCTTCTCCTTCCAGGAAAAATCAACGTGGCGGTAATTCGGGTCCAAAAGTTTTAGCCAATCACCTTCTTTAATCTGTGAGCAGAAGGTTTAATTACTGTGATGGAGGATTTGAATACTTATATATAAGGTGGCAGTCTACTGTTTTCCAAATTTATTTTTGGGGTGTAATTAATTTACAGTTTATTGATCTTATTTACAGTCATCTGACATTAGCAGGTATGCACCTGCAGGGGGGGGGCAGGGAAGCAGATCTCTTACCGCATCATTTTGTAAGCCATATACTGATAGAACAAAACAATTTTGATTTGAATCACATACCAGAAAGTATCTGCAATCCAAAAAGAACATTAGGTTCAGACTTCATGATGGAACTTGGAGGATGAGGGAGTGGGGATGGGAAAGTATTGCTTTCACTTTATGATGAGTTAAATGCAAGGCTTAAAAGATTGATGTAATGCGGAAAAAAATTTCAAAGCAATTAGAGACTTACCATTACCTGTTTTCTATTACTGATTAATGGCAGTGGAACATAGACAGAACATGACTTCTATATTAATATATGCAAGCTTAATGGGATAAGTCTATAAGAAAGATGCATATTCGCACGATATAAAACTAGATAGAGTTTTCAAGTATAGTACTTACAGAGGAGTGGCATTCTCATGCTTAACAAAGAATAACACTTTTCCCAATATAGCTACTGCTTTGTTTAGCCCTTCAGAGAGCATATCTACAGTGGCCCTGTTGTACGAAGGATTCACTAAAAGAAAGATGATCACAAAAACTAATTAGTTCATTCCAAATTACTGATAACAAGTTATATATTGTATAGTCACAATTGTAAGTTGAAAGGTGTTATTAAGCCTTTACCACACCAAGGAAGGGATAGGCTGCTTACAATCAATAGCACCCAGAGATGCTGCTAAAGAAGCAAGTCTTTTAGCTCTAACATGTCCCTGTAAAAACCTAACTGTTAAACCAGCTCAATTTCTGGGAAAATGGTTTTGTTTTCAACATTGAAAATGGCAGCATATGACTCAAAAGTCATTAATTCAAAAGAAAAATGGAAAAGTCACATGAATTTCAGGACAGGTTTTACAAGAATATTAGGATATAAAACCAAACAACACTTCTAACATGAATTAGAACCCATTTGAATCCTGTACCCAAAGAGTAAAAAAGACAACTAGGTAAAAGGGACCAATTGAGGACCTTTTCTATTATACTAATCTTTTCAGTAACCACTCCTGTTAGCACTAACATGAGATGGATACAAAAGACTTCTCGCTAGTTTCATATGCTGATTTTAACAGAAAGATTACAATAGCACCAACTGGGATGATTTATATACTTGGGGAGTCTATCCATTATAAATGGTAATTGGAGGGCACAAACTGACTTCATTTGATGGTTGAGAAGACCTCTAGACATTATCCCCTAAGTACTCCATTGCTTGCTCACCTAGAGAACTTTATTACCTTCAACATATTGTCGAGCTTATCGAGCAGATTGACCATCTTTTGAACCTCCTCAGCAGCATTGAGACTAGGATCCTTTGAGGCAGCAGCTTCAAAGCCATTAAGAGAACTCTCATAATTCTCTAGGTATTTATTTACCTGAAAAGAGTAACTCCATTAGGAAATTGTTTGGAAAGTAAAAATTAAAGATTTATTTAACAGTTCTTGCTTATAGGCAGATGGAGGAAATTCTAATAATCTAATTGTGCAAGAACTCCAAAGATAGTGAGGCATGTATTTCATCGGGATCCTTTTTCTTTTCAATGTTATCTCTAGTGTCATACTCGTCTAATGCAATTTTTTGCCTTTCATCTTACTGAAGCCTGTTTATCTGCAATAATATCTCTACATAAACTAAGAAAACCTATGTTTCTCTTCTTATACATACTACATAGAATCACAAGGTTCACCAAAATTTTCCAAAGACCTTCAAATCCTCACTTTTGAGACCCTTGTCACAAGACTTCCCTCTTGAAAGTTGAAACTACTTCATGCTTCACTAAAAAAGAATAGAATAAATATTGAATATGTTCAGTTTAAAAGGATCAATATCTCAAAAGCCTTGTCTCATAATTAGGTAAGAAGAAATAGATTACACATGGATTAAAACACAATGAAGAACTTAATCAGAGAAATGAAAAATAAGCAGAAAATCTCTCTCCCTCATTCCATCTCATCCTTGAAAGCTGTATATGTTCTGTAATACCCATTCTTAATTCATATTACCTTTATCCAGCACAGATGGCTGGCTTTTTGGAGTTGGTCAAGGTCCATAAATCATGTAACCATAAATGACCAGGCATCTATATGCCAGAGGAATTATCAGCAATTCCTTATTTAAAAATCTCAAAAGGAAAAGGTGATAAAATAATCAACTTACAGTTGCACAGTTGAAATAGAGGTCTGGATTTGACTTCATCCTTTCATCCTTCTCCTGGAACAAATCACAGACAATTAAACCACATGAAAAATCAATAACGAGCAGTTTGGTGCACACAGGAGTTCACAAAAACAACCCTCCTACATATAAAAGAATACGAGAGAAGGATTGATAGGGAGACCAACCCTAATCAAAAGGTATGAACACTAGTTTCATATAAACACACAATAATTAGAATAAATTATCAATGGTTGTCAAATGATTTAAGAGGCACACTGTCATTCCACCCACTTACAGCATTTCGATATGCCTTTAATGACTGAAGAAGTTTGCTATGGTCCCATGCTCCAGTCACAAAGAAACTTGTAAGGCTGGCATTTCCAAGGATGTCTATCAATAAAATGATCTGGTGTCAAATCCAAGGTGGTGTACTAAGAAAAATATAAAGAAAAAAAGTAAAAATAAAGGTTCTCTATCCAAATAGGTGATTGCTTATTTTGTAAAATAAGCACTGTGTTCTAAATAGACTCTATGTTATTTAGCATATGAGAAAAAACTAAGACAAGAGTTATAGAACAAAAACCAGGGAAGAACTTACACCAAGAGTTCCCATCCTTGACATCCAAAGTTATAGCTTCCTTGGCATGTTTAATGCTTTCTTCAACAATCTCCGCCTGATTCTCAGCACCTGCATAAGTGAGAAAATATTTAACTGACATGTCTATATTTAAGCCCAAGCTATAAATCTGTCCTTGCAAATTAACACTTTTCACAGCACTTGATCAAAGTTAGGGTGCACTCATTTTGTATTAGCTATTTTTCCAAGAAGTAAAGGGGTAATTTAGAAAAAAAAAGAGGGTGGAAGAATCCAGGAAGAAAAGTAGAAGAGGATGCTTGCCTTGAGCCATTTTTCTTTCAAGCATTGATAATTGACAGAGTATCTTCTTGTTTGGACCCTGCATCAAAATGAAAATGAGTAAAGTATTACTAATTAACAAGAAAAAAATACATAAAATTATTCACCAGTGGAAGTCTTGAGTAAGTGACAACCTTGCTTAGTGCAAGAGTAAAACAGTTATTCGCTGAAGGTAAATCTCCCTTCTTCCAAATGCTGTTACCTAAACATAGCCAAGCATCTGCAAGAGATGGATTTAACTTAACCTGAGGCACAAAATAGCACGTTCAGAACATGAATCTTATTCAGAGGATCACATCAAACAAAAGTACCAAAGAAAGATGTTTTTTTCACTCACAGCTTTTGAGAGATGATCCTCTGCTTCCTTCTTATAATCAGGCACTACGTCTAATATCTTCCCTCTTAGATACTCATACATTCCACGTTCCATAGGTAGTTTCCTTTTCTCTACAGAAGGCCAAAATTTCTTCCAATAAAACGAGCCATGATGATTCATACTAAATATAATGAATAATTCACATTTAAAATAGCTCAACCATTTAAATCACAGTCCATTATAGGCGAAATTGAAATAGGGTGTGAATTACATGATTAATAAGTTACTAAGAAACACTTTAGACCAAAGAATAAACACTAAGAAAATAAGTTAACTAAAGACTGAAACTTTGACTCCCTTGAACTTTTCTGAAAGATTCTTCAAAGCTTTTCTTTTGTGGAGTGGGGGAATTCTTCAAAGCTCATTCGACATAAATTCAAATGGTAATAATACTAATAAAGAATGTTTTCTGTAATTTATACCAAAAAAAAAAAAAAAAGGGGGTAGAAACAATCATTATGGTTTATCTCATCTTTAACTCCCATTGCATTAAATTATGGGTACAATTGACACACTTTCCTCAGCCAGCAACCAAAGAGAAGAAACAATGAAAAGGGTATTTATGATTGGGATCATGGGGTAAATACCTGGAGGAATACAATCAAGGAGCTTGAGAGCAAGATCGGATTCTCGATGCAATCTGGAGACTTTGTCATCTGGGTTGGGAGGGAAGTAGGTGTCCCGAAGCTCGTACAAGTCATCGACTGCTTTTGTGGCTTTTGCCCAGACGTCTTCTTCTCTTTCTTGATCGGTCATCGCGCTTACCGTGCGAGGGACTGCTCCTGGAACACTGCAGACTGCCGCTGAGGAGGCAAAGGAGTTCAGCAATGAAGGGGAAGCTGGGAACTCAGGGTAGTTTGGTGAGCTTACTAAGTGCTTCATGTTTTTTATATTATTTATGTTTGGTAAAGTTAAATCTCCCTCCTACAAATTTACATTTTAAATATATTTTTAATTTTTAAAAAATTTTAAATAGCGAAACATCAAAAGTTTTAAAGTTAAGTTTTTTTTTTAAATTTATTTTTTATTTTTTAAGTAATTTTTAATTTTTTTTTAATAAAAATTTAAATTTACCATTTAGTAAAAAAAACAAAAACTCCAACAAAACACCAAACAGCCCTCAGTCACTCACACAACACAATAAACTATGCCGTTTGGTTTTCACAATTTTTGTTGTAATAACCCTAGGATTGGTCCCATCATCCCTCCTCAACTAAATATATCCACTCTCAAACTGATGTTGTTTTTTTTTTTTTTTTTTTTTTTTTAAAAAAAAAAAAAAAAAAAAAAGAAGAGACACTCCCTGATATTTTCGGTCCCAAATAAGGGCAAAAAATTAAGATAAAGAGTTATGTGACTATATCCATCTGTGTACAAAAACTAATTTGAAACTATTTTAATAATAAATATTAAACAAATTTTATTTTTGTTTTGACAAATTAAAAAAGTATAATTTCTTTTTGTTAATTTTTTTATACTAAGTTTCTTTTATGCAATGTTGATACCAATATATATATTGTTTATTTTTAATTATTTTTTAATATTTTATTCAAGATTTTTAAATAAAAATTTAATATTTTATATGAACAAAAATTTAAAATTTTTTTCTTTTGATATAAATTTTTTGTTGTATACTTTTATATGATAAAAAAATTTTCAATTATCATTTATATAATATATTAAATATTTATTTAAAATTTATGTTTAAAAAATCAAAAAATTAAATTAACTTTATTAAAATGAACCAGAAGAATAGCATTTTTTTGGTTATATAAATAGTGATAGTCATTTTTTTCTCAATCTACTTTATGTATGATTTAAATTTAAAATTTTTAATATAAAAAGATTTAAACTTGTAAATATTAAGATGTTTCTTAATTTTTTAAATTTAATGATTGGAGTCTCTGCATATCAACTTATAGCCATCTCAAAATTATAATAATATAGTAAAATAAAATAAAAATGCTACGTCTCATCTTGCACTTTCAGTTGCAGCAGCTATCCAAAAAGGCCCATGATATAAGTGCATCATGCTCGCGCATTCCGTTTCTTTTTGTCTTGGTTCTCCTCTTTCTTTGCATGCCACATCTCTTTAATCTTTGGTACATTATAGAGTGATAAGCTGCTTGGTTAAGCAAGGTTTGAACATCTCTTTAATAATAGATATATACAGCCTTCCTTTTCCTTACCAATTTGCACTATCCCCTGCTCACCCTCGTTCAACTACACATGGAGAAGTTAATTTGTACTGTACTCCTCCTCCTTGCACCGCCTGTAGTTGTTGCAGCCTGTTCATCAAACCATGTTCCGGCCATCTTCGTGTTCGGAGACTCCATCTTTGATGCTGGAAACAACCACTTCAATAAGAACTGCACCGCACAGGCAGATTTTCCACCTTATGGCTCTAGTTTCTTCCACCGGCCCACAGGAAGGTTCACTAATGGAAGAACCGTAGTTGATTTCATTTGTAAGTACTTCCCTATTTCTTCACCATTTTATTTCTGTAAGAATTTAATTGATCATTAATTCTGGATTTTTTTTTTTTTTTTGCTTAATTGAAAATTGGCAGCACAATTTATTGGGATTGATTTGCAAAAACCATACATGGAGGTACATTTAGAGTTCCTGAATGGAACTAGGAAACAATATCCCACAAATGGCATTAACTTCGCTAGCGCAGGCAGTGGTGTTTTGCAGGGAACAAACAAGCTTTGGGTATGAATTAACATTTTTTTTTAAAAAAGATAACATAGGTATTTGGACGTTTGGTCTGACTAATATGATATACGCTCGCTACAGGGAGTGACACCAATCCAGGAGCAGCTACAACAATTCCAGGCACTGGTGGGGCAAAAACATGTAGACAAAAATCTGATCCAGAAATCTCTCTTTTTCTTTGAATCCGGCTCGAACGACATATACAACTACTTCCTTCCGTTTGACAGCCCAACCCTGGATCCGGATGCCTATGTGCAGGCCATGTTGACAGAAGTAGGCAGTGTAATTGATCTAGTCTACAAGCTCGGTGCACGTCAAATTGCAGTATTCTCCCTAGGTCCCATCGGCTGTGTTCCAGCCAGGGCCCTTATTCCTGGTGCACCAATTGAACGCTGTTTTGGGAGAATGAATGTTATGGTTAAGAAGTATAACAAGAGGCTGGAGATTCTGGTGAATGATATCCCTGTTAGGTACCCTGGTGCAATTGGTGTCTACGGTGCAGTTTATGAAGCTGTCCAACACTTCCTACAAACTCCAGCTCGTTATGGTAAACTTGAGGATGTGAACATGAACAACCATTAGTAACAAAGTTTCCCAAAATTAGATTGACATTTTCTTGCCTTTGATTTTACAGGTTTTGTTAATGTAACAAATGCGTGCTGCGGGGATGGAACTCTGGGAGGACTGGTGCAGTGTGGCCAGGATGGTTACAAGATTTGCTCAAATCCTAATGAGTTCTTGTTCTGGGATTACTTCCATCCTACGGAGCAAACATACAAGCTCATCTCCAAGGCTTTGTGGGGTGGGAAGAAACCTCGCATTAGGCCGGTTAATCTCAAGTCTTTAGTCAACCTAACCATTTCTCATGTTTGAGCACATCATCACTGGATTCTGTTATACAATTTACCTTGAATGATCAGTGGTTTACATGATATATGTTGTATCTTTGATCTCAGTTAAAGAATAAATTAATAATAGTAATAGATTTTAGATGCAAACTCTTGAATTTCTTTCTCCTTGATGGATAAACATGGGTGCCAAAACTTCTTCAACTTCCTAATCACTTTTTATGTATTTGTATAAGAAAGTTATGGTAATATGTAATGATAATTGAACATAAAATCAAAAGTGAAACTGTATCTATATGAATTCGAGAGGATAAGAGACCCACTTATATATTCTTTTTCTTTATTTCCTTTAGGTCTTAAAAGTTAAAACTTCTTTAGCTTGAGACACGAAACATCTCATAGTTTGAACCCAAATATTAGTGCCTAGTGTTGTTACGGATAAGGGGTATTGGTAACTTTTTCATTTTGCAGAGTGGAGTCTTGCTGCCTTCACATTCTCATGTTTGTGTTGGAAGAACAAATCCAAAAACAAGTGGACCGATGATCAACTATTCTTTGTCAGCTCTTAACTTTTTATGTTATATGTTTAACAGGCCGGCCCAATAAGGCCAAAAAGGCCAGGCTCAATTGGAATCGGCACAAAATTGGCCTTCCGAGTTTGAGATCCGTGTGTGAGAACTATCCAATGGGGTTGATCTTGGGTCTAGAGTCTGGACTTGAGGAACGGGGCCCAAAATCAAAATAAAAACTGGCCCATTCTTCCTATATTAGCGGGCCCAATGCAGTCACAAGTATCCATTTGAATTTTATTCCCTATACAACTAAACATGTAATGCATGCCAAAGTTAATAATTTTAATTGACAAGATATTTTTTTTTTATTTTGAACAGATTTTACGAGGGCTGAGTTTGAACCCCAGCCTGGGGAGGGGGGAGTGCATATGGTGGCTTTTGCCACTTGGTCCGAAGGGCTCGGTGCTAATTGACAAGATATTGATTGATATATATATAGTGTTTTTAACTATTAATTTTTTTATTTTATATAGTTTATATTATTTAAAGTTTAAGAGGCATTAATTGTTTGAGTTTTTTTTTTTTTT